AGGTTGTCTCCGCGTGGCCGCTGATCCAAACCAGTCAGGAGTTGCAAAGGACGATTTTAAGCCTTGCCTTCTTGCAGCTTTGCTTGCCGCGTTGTGGTACTGTCGCGCGTTGTTTTTTGTTGTTTTCTCTTTGCCGCGGCTTCGCCTCGTTTGTCCGCAAGACCCAGGGAATCCAAGAGCCGATTCCAGAAACCCAGTTGAGCAAAGGCCGGAAAAGAGGAGCGATCGATGCTGTCACATGTGCACGCAAGTTCTGCGGACGGACCTCCATGCTCAAAATGTGCCCCCTGAACGGTTCAGAACGGTTCAGCCAGCCTTTTTTCTGCGTAAATGGTTGCGTAAATTTTCGCGTAAATTTCAGACAAGTCTTTGCCTTTTTGTGCTTTGAGATTTCGGATCGCTTTCGATGTTCCGACGCCGGCCTGACCTTTTGCCTAGGACTAGGAACCGCCAGCCGCGTGCTCGCGAACCGTTCCGAGGAACGGTGGCAACCAAACTGCATGCCCCTGAGCCGTTCTGAACCGTTCCGAAAGCAGTGGAACGCGTGCCCCTGAACCGTTCTGAACCGTTCCGGAGGCATTGGAACCCATGCCCCTGAACCGTTCTGAACCGTTCTGGAGCCCATCTAGCAAGCAGCGCACAGAGCAGGCGTATAGTTCAGAACCGTTCTGAACCGTTCGTCACTCAAGCTTCCCAGGAACCGTTCTGAACCGTTCATGAGGGGTTGCAGCATCATACTATGAACCGTTCTGAACCGTTCAGCAGTCATGGCAGCAGCATACCCTGAACCGTTCTGAACCGTTCAGGAAGAATTGCAAGCAGCATGCCCTGAACCGTGCTGAACCGTTCAGGAGGGATTGCAACATCATACCCTGAACTGTTCTGAACGGTTCGGAGACATTGGAGCATGCTCAGGAATTGCCCTTGCTTCTGCTCACGCATGCTTAGGCTTACCAACCACGTGTTTAAGACCTAAGATGTTTGGCCTCCTAACATTCGCACGGTAGCTGCTAAGGGTTTAACAAAGATCATTCAATCAACACCTTGGGCGCTTGTTATGGAGATGGGAGGGGCGCGTTGGAGCCTTACCTTCTTTTTGCCAATGTTTTGCCATGGGCTTGTCTGATTGTGCGCCTTTTCTGTCTGTTCAGGCCTGTTACATGGCAAATGATGCAGCTTCCAGCTTCCAACATTGAGGCACACATTGTTTACATGATCTTTTACGTGTTTCTTTAAGGCCTGTTTTTGTTTACATGAATACTTACATGAAGAGTGACGTGGTTTGTTACATGACTATTGGCCGGTTTTAACCTCCACAGAGATAGAGGCTAAGTTTTGGTCTAAATTATAAGAGTTGTTCGCATCGTCGTCCCTGCACTGGTCCTCGAAAAACTTGGCTGATGCATAGGAGCTCCTGGCAACCTACTTCGCTTGACAACTTGGAAAGAGTTCACGAACCAGGCCAATTGACTACAGTGCTGCTGGAGCTGAGTGAACGCAAGGCCCAGAAGTTGTTGCGTGCGTTGGAATGACGGCCGCCGGTCGTTCACCACACATGTGAACACCAATCTGCGAACCATAAGCACCAACTCCAAGATGAACCCGGCCAAGCTGGTGGTGTCCACTGGCATTGGTAAGTTGGAGCTGACGTTCAAAGCCAGGCTTGTTCCAGGATGAAGCGGCGTTGGGCGCGTGGAGCAAAGCCATGCGTTGGCCATCTTGGGAGCATGCGGCGTGCTGGACACGACAGAGATGAAGGTCGATGACCAAGCTACTGCCGGTTCAAACACTGAGGATTTTCTGGAGCTGTGGTGACAGAGGTGCGCGCGGGCACCTTTGCTGACGCTTGCCAATTTGGCGCGGTGTGAGGATGTCCCGGCCGTAACGCTACAAGGCGCAGTCTGCAAGTTTATGCAAGTGCTCTCTTGCCCTGCTTGTGGCAAGACCTTTAGCCGAGCTCGAGAAGAAGATAGCAACCGGCCACCAAATGCTGCGGTGATGGAAAAGTGCATTGAGTGTCCGTACTACAAAAGTTCCGTCGAAACTTCCTTTGATTAGTGCCAGGTGTTAGGTTGATTCACCCCGAATCCCCCGGGGCCTTCACTCTCGAACATGGCATTGACATGGAGTTTTCTCCTCGAAGTCGATGAACAACATCGATGCTTTTACCCGGCGTCAAGGACATACATAGACTGATTGTAACTATGTGTTCCTCACATAAGCTACTCAATTTCGCACCTTACGTGAAGGAGACAAGCTTTTTTTTGGGTTGTACAGACCTGTCATGTTTTTTTGCTGTTTGGGGTCGAGGCTGGTGTAATTGTTTGACCCCAAAATACCCAAGCGGGTGGCCCATGCTTCGGGGTCTGGGTCCATTGAAAGCCGAATGTCTCTGGGAGGGAAATAATTGAAACGCAAATGGAAGGTAGCCGTTTGATACTGTGGATGATTGCGACATCCATTTCGTGCCACCTAAGCCATGGTTGAAACCATGGTTTGTTGGAATTTGCATGGGAATCGTCATTCTAGGGGTTTTAGGTGGCGTGAAATGGAGTTTGTTCATCCACAGCAGGTCCCTTTTGCTCTCGGCCAGGCTACGAGATAGTTGTGTTGCCTGCTGAAGTCATGTTTGTTGACTCGGCGCTAAAAAGTGACTTTGGTGGTAAAATCTGCACTTTTTGCAACATGTCCAAAACCTGAAACAAGAATCGGAGCCCCAAGCGAAGGATCTTTATAATACCATGAGCTCGTTCGCTCGCTAACATACTGGTTGGTCAATCCGCTTTTCCATTGCAAAACCACGCCCAAATCCTTTCGTAACCCAAGGTTCAGAAGTTTTCCCATTTTTCTCGTTCCATCTCTTTCCCTTCGCCCCACTTTCCCTTCGAACCCGAAAATGTGAGACACTTGGGGTCCACCGAAGCGTTCCATGGCGAGAAGAGTTGAGTGAAGCGTTCAGTCGGGTCCACCCCCCGACTGAAGATCTTGGGTCTAGTTGAAACCATCTTCGGGTCTTGGTCTTTGAAGGAGTAGCTTCCAAGTACCCCCCCCCCAATGTTCAACAAATACCCGGTTTTCAGGGTATCACGTCAATCCTCTACTTTAGCAAAAATATGTATTTTGGAATGGAAAGTCCGTTTTTGCCGCACGAATACCCTAAACAAGAGGGTAGTGGAGTAATGAGTAGACTAATGTGGTGTCCACCCACTGCCTCAGAAACCCGGTGTCTTGACTCTGAACAAAACTCAGGGAGTCCTCCTGAGCACGCCACCTCAAAAGCCACCCTGGAAACACGTGCAACAAAAACCACTGGTCTGGGCGGCAGTCACAACCAAAATTGGGGGGGACAACAAACTACCCATAAACAAGGGGCATGGCCTTATTTTTGTGTGGCAATGACTCATTGTCTGGCTTCTCACTTTGTCTGCCCTAAGGATTTTTTGGCGAGCAACAAGCAACAAGTCGTCACTCCAAGCCCTCCGAAACCCCAAAAGCACCCCGAAGCTTGGTTTGAAAACAAGACCCCCCCCCCCAAGAAAACAAAGAACGCGCCAACAAAAAAGAGAAGAAATGGTTGGGCCATTCCAACTCAAGAAACACCTAGGAACATCTTTGGGTCATTCCAACTTCCCTCAAAAATCGGAGGATCAAACCAACACCTACCTGGACCCTCAAACTACTCATAAAATGAGTTGTTGCAAACCCAAAGTTGTGGTTGGTGGTTTCTCTTGTTTAAGGGTAGTTTGAGAATCGGTCCAGGTGGACGGTTGCGTTGAATTATACAGGAATCCCCTTCCACCGGTTCCCCATCTCTGCCCCATGCCGACGATTCCCATTTGATCCGCTCCGCTTCCTGCCTGAGGTAGTGGGGATGGCCCCAGACCACGGCAGTGTCGTTTTGCTTTACTGCCAGGAAGCCAACTTCTGAGGCCTCCAACCTCACCACCTGCGCATTGCTCGTGTTTTTGGTCGCTGGTGCGAGAGATGCAGGGAATGAGACATGGAATGACCCCACACCATCCAGTTGCCTTTCTTCGGGAACCCCCAAAACCGGTTGAAAGACCCCAAGATAAACCATCCAACTGGTGGCTTCCTGAATGTTGGGGAATCACCGGCTCATGCCCAGAGGGACCCTACTCCACCAGCAAGTCTTTTCAATGGACCCAGACCCCGAAGCATTGGGGGTCAAACACACAGGTTTTTGAGTAGAGAGGTTAGAATAGGGGTACCAACTTTTTTTCTGTAGTCTATTTTAGTAGAAAAACCCTCCCCCCGCTGCAGGGATACCTAAAGAAGCAGGCACACCTATTTGGCCAAAGTTGATTCTCAGAATTCTCCTTGGTGCCAGAAACCAAGAGGAGCGCAAGAAAGAACACGGAATCACATTGGGAAGTGTTGTGGATGTTCTACCTGGCTTGACCGGGGTTTGTACGGCCTGACCCAAGAAGCACTATTTTGCTTAACCCTTGGCTGAAATGCACCGGGGACCCGTTTTTGGCATTTAAAGGGAAACCAAGAGCACACCAGCATTTATTCCCTTGCCAGGGCAAGTATCTCCTTTTTGTCAGGGGTCGACATCACGCCCTAAGACAAGTGGGCATTTGGAGGGGCCTCTCGTCTCAACTGGTGCTCTGTTCCAAGAGCAGTTTCCCTTGAGTCTGCAATGGCTTCCACATGCCTAGGGCCCTTGGCCCCCGATTGACGGGCTTCCAAACTCGTTGGCTTCCAAAGGTGATGTGAACTAAAACACCGGCAAGAAAGTCCGGGAAATCTCCCGCCCAGAAGAAAACTAGCCTGAAACATATTCGCAATCGTTCACGGTGATTCTCTATGGGTAACATGAGGGTTCAGGTACCTGGGCTTCAAAAACCGGTAACTTGTCGTACCTTTGCAAAGTTTAATGGTTTTACATGTCCCTTATTTTTTTCTGGGCACGACATGTGCATCGGATTTTGAGGCTCCTGGTACCCTCAGAACAAGTTGCGGGTCCAACTGGGATGCTAAGGTTCCCAGTCCGTTGCTTCGAACCTGCCACAAAGTTTTGAAGCAAAGCAGAAAGTTCCCAGAAAATAACACGCCCAAAACCCAACAAGTCTGCCAAGATGCACCAAGAATCAAAAATACAATCACACTTCCTGAGTACCACACTTGTTAGTCACCCGCTCCTTACCATAAACCCACCCCCTTATGGTGAGTTTAGGGAAAGCCACCCTTGACCTCTTTGGGAACCCATATCAGGGAAACCAAAAGATCAGAAGGTCGATTCGCCTTGGGCAAGTGAGTCAAAAAGAAAACCTAGAAGCCACTGATCCAGCCCTAAAGTCAACCTAAACCTAAACACCATAAACCCACCGTCACGCCCAACCCCCTCCAAAAAAAGTGACTGAAGCCCGAAACGTAACTCGGAAACGGAGTGAGTCAAACATTTCACACGCCCTCGCTCGGGGTTTCCGGGCTCAGACTAAACCAAGTAAAAGCCTCTCGGAACCGCACGATGCGCTGGGAATTTCCAAAATTATATAGGGCCCTTCCCAAAATTTCCGGTGTTTCCCTCTCAAAGCCACAACAAATAGTCGGGGTTGCCAACTCTGACGATCCGTCCGCCTCTGACAGCAGGTGCTGCACATCTGCGAAGTTGCCCCCTGAGAAGGCATGGCCCCAGGCGGTCACGGAGCCGTCGCTCCTGGCGAAGTGAGGAACGTAGAGGAACCCCGCAGGGTCTGGTCGGATTTGGGCGAAAAGAGGAAAAACCGAGATGGAAGGCACTGAGATTTGGTGGAAACACCATGTTCAACGTCCGTTCTTTGGTGCATTTTTAGTTTGGCTAGCCAGGGGGTGAGGGGAGGGAAGGTCCAGGTAGGTGTCCGACAAGTAGAACACTCTCCTCAGAGCGGCGAAGGCGCCCAGGCTGGCCACCACCTAAGCAGCGAAGCGCTCGTGTTTTCCGGCTCTGGACCCTCAAACTACCCACAAAAAACGGGAAATCGCCCCTTCATTTTGTGGAAACAAAGAACAACATGGGTAGTTTGAGGGTCCAGGCTGAGTTTGGCATCCTGAAGGGGTACCTGGGCCGATTCTCAAACTACCCATAAAGGACAATCGCTCAATCAGCCTTTTTAGGGGGTTTGTTTGGGGCTTGGGGTCCAGGTCGATTTCTGGTGGTTTCCTGGCAACTTCCTGCAAAGTGTGCTTGCGTATCTGACTTGTGCGGACATAAAAGGTCAAGCAATGGGTGACTCTGCCTCACATCCCTGGGCTTCCAGGTCAAAAGGGCGAAGTCTTTGAAGGAGGAAGCAGTTGGTTCGCGTGACGTTCCTTGGATTTTTGGCAAAAAACGCCTTGGAACATTCAGGTTCAAGGTAGCCCTCAAACAGCCCATGGCCAGATTTATCAAGATGCACGCAGAAAATCGGCTTGCGTCGCTCTAAATCCGGTGGATTGGATTGGTGGTTTGGATTTGGATTTGAAGCCCTGGTTCTTGTTCAGGGTAAATGCAATACCGCCCCGGAACACCACCAAACCACCAAGTAACGGGCAGCTCATAAACAGGGACATGATACCCCGAACAAAACACGGGCTATTTGGAGTGGGGGGTACTTGCAGCTCATCCTTCAAACACCGCCCGATGGTTTCAATCATTGACCCAATCCACACCGGGCTTGGGAGATTCTTGGACCCGATTCGGAGAACTCAACGCCTGGGTCACAGGTTGATCCCCAAGAGGCCATGGCAGTAACCCGCAACAAGAAGTCCCCCGTGAATGGGGGTCAAATTTGCTATACTAGGGCGTGAAAAACCGCAATTGCCTAACTAATTACAAACTTGGCGAATCGAAGATTTACGTAGGATTGTTTTTTTAAGGCACGTCCAAGTGTGGACTTCTGCCCAATTGGGTGTCTTTCTTTAGGTAATACCCTTTTGGTGAATGTTAAGCGGAAACCCAGAGAAAAAGAAGTTGCGCCATTTTCGGGGGTCGCCTAAGCAGTGTCACCCGCACCCTCAAACTACCCATGATAAAAGGGAATTCACCCCATATGTTTGGGGCAATAAGCCATTTTTAAGGGTAGTTTGAGGGTCCACACCCAGCTCCCGCCTGCACCACGGACTTCGTCGCGTCCGCATCCTCCGCGGTCTCCGTCCGCGCGCCGCCGCGCTCTGGGTCGCCCCAGGCGACCAGGCGCCCGTCGCCGGTGAGGCCGCAGAATGCGCCGGAGGTGCTGTGGAGCTCTACGAAGTGCCTTGAAGCACGTTGCTCGGCCCAAACACCGCGAAAGAGAAATCAGCAAACAACGACTTAAGGCATATATATATATACAAATAATCAGAAGTTTAGTCTGAAAACTTTCTTAATACGAAAAGTGGAGTTACCCACATTCGAAACACGCAAAGGGTAGCCCTGTTTTGCACACGGGGTCGCATCCGGAAGAAACCAGGGGTGAGGGATGCTTGACAAGTAATTTCTCCATGTCTGAACGCAGGGAAATCGAGCAAACAGGTCACTTATGTCTGGTGCGAAATCTTTACATTCTAAGAGTGTCCCAGCGAAACTCCCCTGAGATTACGACCCCCCAAGCAGACTCCAATGCTTTTGCTTTTCTAGACCCGGCAAAAAATGTCGACACATAGCGTCCATGGACATGACCAAGAGTTGAAGTTCGACGTATATTCTGTCATCTTGGTGCACGTGCCATAACCCATGCCTTCAAAGCCTGCAAGCATTTCGTCGGAACATAGTGTGCAAATGTTCCCAAACAATGACCCAGAACAGCCATAGAGATCAAACACATAAACAAACGCATGAAGGAAACAAAGAAAATATCAGGAGCCAACCAAGCGGCAAATCCAAAGGTTCCAAGTGGGGCAGAGTGAGTCGTCCGTGGCTTCCTGGTAAACATAAGTATGTGGGAATCGGAAGCCCTGGTGGGCGTTGTCGTCTTATTTGGGGGGGGGTGGTAGTGGGGGGCGTACGATCCTGGGTCAGCAATTGGAACGGCACGGGTTGAAACTCAGATGCCCAGTGGCCAGGGGAAACAAAGGGGGCATCCCTTTGTTGGTTAGTTGAGTTTAAATGGACCCCCCCCCAAAAAAAAGAAGATAAAAAGGCACCACCGGAGCACTGGTTGACTTCAATTTGCTTAAGCCCACTGAACAAATCCATTGATAGGTTTTAAAAACCAGGAAAGAATCACAAATGTCCTTCAGCAAATGGAAGTTGAAAGGCTTCTTGGTTGCTGTTGACCCCCCTGCAAAAAAGTTTAACTTTTGGGGGGTTAGTGGAAAACACCTTTATTTTCCAAAAAGTGAAAGTCTAAAGATCCGTTGCCCAATAGCAATCAAGGGCTTGCCTGCCCAGTCGCATGTCTTCCAGCGCCTCCGGCACCTCCAGCGGCGTGAGGTTCAGCAGCCGCGTGCCCTGCAGCACTGCGAAGGCTTCGCCCGCGCCTTTCGCGGCCGCCAGCCGCGGCGGCTCAGGCGTGGGGTGGCAAGCGGACACGGTGCCGCCTGGGCGACGGCCGATTGAAGGGTTTGCTGAAGAAAAAACACGAAAATACCCGGTTAAAAGAGGGTACATGGGCGTGTCTTTTTGGAGGGTACCCTTTTGGGGATTTGAAATTGAAAGGGAAGCCAGAGGGGGGGGAGCCACCAATTTTGGGGTCTCCTGTTTGCAAAGCGCCCCCTGCGAAGCCAAAAATGGACGGATCCCTCCAATTGGCGCCTTTGAGGCCGGTAGTTGAGAGGCGAGAAGGTGGGGTGGATTCCATTTACCCACAAGAAAAAGGGTCCGAACCACTAGGGTCTGTCTTTCTTTAGTAGACCTCCCAAACTGGTGTGTGTTCCCCTTAACACCACACAAGGGGTACAACAAAGACACAAAGCTGAGCAGATTGGCAGTTGCCTGAAGTACCCAGAAATAGAAGGTGAACCTCGACTGCAACGTTCGATGCACAAACTCCACCGCAACGAACGACACATATGAATCGCATGCCAAGAACAGAGAGCCTAGCCCAAACTGTACACACACACACACACCACAACAAATATGCCAAGACCAGGACCCACAAGCACAAAGCAACATAAACAGTTCCAACAACTGCGGGACCTAAAGAGAACACAGGACCAGAAACCCAAGATCAATCAACCCAGATTTGGATGGTTTTCAAGGGAAACCGAAAGGACGACGGTTTTTAAACCGAAAATGAACATCAATACATAAGTCAACCCAAACCCAAAATGGGTGCGTCTGCTTCTAGGGGACCCCCAGAATGACTTCGGTCTTCCTTTTGGTTTCCTTTCAAAACCACAAACAAGGGGACCAACTCCAAAAACGACACACCCAAATACTCAAACCCGAAGGAAACCAACCATACTCAACCACAAAACCCATGGTAAATCACATCTGAGAATCGGTTGCCTCGCTGCCTTCCTTGCAATGTTTAGGGCATCCACGTATCCAAACCTGAAACCTAAAGAAGCCTAAAAACGCCTAAATAAGTCCAAAGAAACCTCAAGAAACCTCAAGAAACCTCAAGAAACCAAACCTAAACCGCAAGGAACCACACCTAAACCGCAAGAAACCAACCCGAAGCCGCCAAACAGCCCGGAAAAAAAAAAAAAAAAAAAAAAAAAAAAAACGGCCAGCATCTCTCTCCAAGCGCGAAACCCAGGCGCCACTGGGGCCCACCACCACCGAGCCCTCCGCCACCAAACAGCAGAAGGCCTTCTCCGAGGTGGCCACATCCACCACCTGGCCAGCGATGGCGAGCGAGCGGCCGAGTCGTCGGTCCGGGGATCGATCCGGGGATCGATGGTACAGTCCACTTGGACGAGTAAGCCGAATACAAAGATGTGTAGAAAACAGATTCGCGCCTTCAGCTAAACTGAGGCAAATCGAGTGTTTCAAACCGTGCCCTGTGTTGGGCCATCCACCGTTAGGGTGCTTGTGTTCGGGGGGTTCCCTTTTCCTTGTTTCTTTTGCGGTTTCGTTGGCCGAAGCGCCGTGAGGCCAACCCATAGTCCATTGCCCCTTTCACAATGAGTCATTCGGTCGCCCCATGGAAGTGATTCGGAGCATGTTCAATTGGCCTCGGGCGAGCAAAATCCGGGGTGGCCATCAAATGCGAAGACCTGGACCCGAAAGCACTACCCATAGAAAAGGGAAACTATAAAAATATATGTTGCCATAGTGTCTGCGGCCGCGAACAATTCTCTGAATTTCTGAATGAGTAGAACCATGGCACAAGAGTCATCCAGAAGGTGGCCCTTTTGGCGCATTTGGGTAGTTTAAGGGTCCAGATGGTCCAGGTAGGGAATTCCACAAGGCTCCCGTTATCGCACAGAACTCAAAAAGACAAACCCAAATTTGGGCTTTCAACCAACTAAATAAGGCACACCTACAAGCCAACACAAACAAGGTCACGACCCTTAGTATGACACCATTGGTTTTGCTCGTGCCTGAAAGCTGCAGATTATGTACTTCACCGTTTTTGCAGGGATTCAAGCAGACTCCGAAAACCCTGAGTGTTGGAAAAACCTGCGAATCACATGACTTCGTGTGGGTTTTCTCGATTTTAGGCGATTGGCACTGACCAGCTGCTCGGCGTGCGAGGTATTTTTTGAAGGGTACACATGGACATGAAGTGCAGCTAGCCTTCAAGTATGATCTCAATTCTCCATCCCGTAGCCATGCTTTCACATAGTCGTAGCCATTGAGAAAGACGATTTAGTTCGATTTCGAACATAGTAAAAAACAAAAGTCACTCTCTTTTGTGACTGGGACATGTTGGTTTCGCCTTGTATCTACATACTTTGCACAAACTGAGTGCAACTGCGTTCTAATTCGCGCACGGAAAAACGACGGCAAACGTAGACACCTGATCGTGTCCAAATGATTTTGCATCTCATGAGTTGTGAAGATGCATCGCTTGAAGAACAAGGACTGATGTGTCCTAGTGAAACTAGTGATAGTTTAACTATCGACTCACTTCAGACAAGATATTCTTATAGGCGATGAAGTTGATATCGCAATTGGACAATTCTTGTAGATGAGCTCAAGAGAGCTAATCCCGCGAGGATGTCGATTGGTTGGATATGTCGTTGTGCCAGCGGTGGTTGCGAATTGGGTTCGCTCGAGGAAGCGGATCATGTCTCGCAGATTGTTGCGCTTGCTGTAGCTTCTCTCGGATGAGTTTCCCTCATTCCAGCTCCTGCTGAATCCTTCCATCCACTGTCTCATAATGTGCCAAACCCTGCCCCCAACCCCAAAAAATTATGGGGTCGTGTTTGCCTTCGCACAACAAGAACACCACCCCCCCCCTGCCCCAACCCTCAGAATCCCTAAGGTCGCAAGTGCGGTCGTCAGCAAAAACAAGCCAACAACAGTGAAGTGATCCTTTCTAAGGTTCTAACTTACTGCCGCACGCCGCAAACCCCCCCCCCCGCCCCCCCCCGGGAAGACAGTGCATAACTGCGTGGCAAAAATCCTTGAAGGCCTCCAAGCTCCCCCCCCCCCTACCCTGAAAAGGTACCTGCACCCTCAAACTACCCCGACAAAAAGAAAAACATCCTATGGTTTTTGGGGCAATAGCCAATGCATTTTGAGGCAATAGCCAATGGGTACAGTTTGAGGGTTCTGGTAATTCTGATCTTGCGCCCGGGTGGCTTGAAAATTGAGTCGCTTGGGTTCTTACGCAGCCGAAGGGTTTGTCCAAAAGTTCAACCTTTTGGGGCCACGACTAAGAATGGACCAACGTTTGGAAAACCAAAAGGTTGGCTTTGGGCAAGTGAGTAATGGTATTTTGGCTTTGTGTATTCCATGTCATGCCTTTTACTGTTGAAAACGTTTGGAGATCAATCGTCCTTTCTGATACTTAGGGTGGTTGAAAAACAAGAGGCGCCTTCGGGTGACTTTGAGTCTTCCGTTGCCTTCGGTTGGCAACGGCTTTCTTGGCAAGAGTTGGTTGAAGCGACCAACTTCCGTCCAACCCTGACATAGCCCCATTTTGCAGTGGATTGCTTTCAAACAGGGGAACCCGACCCATCAAGCAACAAGGACAACAGAACCTGGACCCTCAATCACCCTCAATCTACCAATTTTAAAAAAGGACATCACCCCATTCTTTGGGGAACAATCACCACTTTTTCCAGGTAGTTTCAGTTTCGGAAGGCCCAGGATTCTCCGCCCTCCATCCAATCCGCCGCCGCCTCCCACTCCAACGAGTCAAGTCAGGCGGAGCTCCTCCCGACCCCGGCGCCTCGCTGAGTCGGGGGATCGCTACGTCGCCCCAAAGGATCAAAGCGCCGTCGGCTTTGAGCGCCGCGAAGGCGCCGCCGCTGGCGAAGAGCCGGGCCACCTACACGGCGAGCTTCGATCCGTTCGCCGCTTGGGTCGTGTTTCTGTGATGGCGATTGCTTTTTCACCCCCCAAACCCGAAATGGAGTCTCCCATTCATAGACCCCGGGGTCCGGGGGGTGTCTCATGTAGCCACTTGCTCGGAGCTTCCATTCGCCTAAATTGGGGATGGCTATCGCCCCTTAAGATCTTAGTCGACCTGCTGTTGGCTGATCCAGGGGTGCACTTGCCCCCAACTTGCAGCAAATCGCCAAGTGGTTGGTTCTGTTCAATCCCCAAACCCGAAATGAAGTCTCCCAGTCATTTAGACCCCTGGGTTCAACAACTGAGTTGCGGGGTTGTCTCATGTAGCTACTTGCTCGGCCAAGTTGCTAGGTGGCCTATTCATTTGGAGTCAATACCCCCCCAGAACGAACGAAGCGAAGACCACCTACGAACTCGGCCCACAGATGATGATTACGAACTCAGGGCTGGTACCCAGGTACCCTTCTCCCCTGTCAGGGGTCCCCTGGACAAGTCCTGGGTCACATGTGGGCTTGCCTTTGAGGGTGCCCCTTTTGGGGGTCTTCAAACAACAGCCAAAGGAAACACCACCATTTTAGGGGGTCCCCTAAAAAACAACACATTCCAAATTAAGTTTGCACAATAGTGCCCTAGTTTGCAAGGTCGCACCAAGCGAAAGGGTGTTTTGACCACGGGGATTCTGCGAGCCACGGTTATTATTCAATCTGTTGCCCACTGCTGATTGTCATAAATATTGCCCATTGCACATACGGGGAGTGTCTTTTTTGGAGGGTAGAGGGATACTGCACCCAGTGATTCCATATATGTATAGTCTAGTAGGTAACCAAGGGAACCATGTTTGCAACACCAACTGGACATTTGTTGGTGACCTACTATAGTGGCACGTAGGGAATCCACAGGGAAAAAGGAACACCGAAGCCATTTTCGGGGGGTTGGTTGGTTGGTTGGTTAGTTGGTTGGTTTGTTGGTCCGCTCAAAAACGACATGCATTAAAAGTCTTAGCTTTTCTGTGCCCCGCCTTCTCTCAGAAGCCCTTTGGGCCCCTTTAAGGGGACAAAAGGCGCATGCTTTCTTGGTGACTGACTTTAAAGGGAAGCCCTTTGCTGGCCAAAAGATGGAACACCTGGCACTGGGTGTCTGAGTTCCAACTTGATATGAAACTTCCCCCATGTGGCCTGTGGGAAAATCGGAAAAGCGACCCTCAAAAGAAGATGCATTCCAACATGAGCGGGCTTGTTTTGAAGGTGCCCCTTGTCATCTTGACTTAAAGAGAAACCACAAGCACAACCACCCATTTTGGGGTTCACGGAAACAAAAACCCGTTTCCAGGCAGGGTCCAAATTGCGCAGGTTTCCTGTAAGGGGGGTAGGCACAAGGGGTGTGGCAAGTGGAGGTTCCTTAGGGTTCCCTAGGGTTTTCTAGGGTTGCTTTGGGTTTAGAAAATGTTAAGGAATTCCCCCTTGGACCACCCCTCCTGACTCCATAACACGAGGTCCCATGTTGCCATTGGAAATTCAGTGTCCTCAGGGTTTCTAAGCGAACCAAAGACTACAGGATGTTTGTTACCAAACTTCATGTTCGGGCGAAGTTCCTTCCACCCTCCAACCGCTGCTTCTTGGACATGGAAAATAGCAGAAAAGTTGGGGGTGCTGGTTTGGCTCCGATTGTTCACCCCCAAAAACCGGGTTTCCTCCATTTCCCTTTTTGGAACCTCCTTTCAGTGGCGATCGGCTTAGGGAATTGATCAACTCTTGATTTGGGGAATCCAGTGACCCCTGCAACCCAAGATGACTGGGGTACAGTCCCCTTGTAACCATGGTTCCACCCTACGGTTGACCCCAGATGAATAAACCCATGCTCATGTGTCGCTGGCTTCAGTTTTTGGCTTTTCACTTTTGGAGGGGAACCCCACCACCTATATTAACAAACCCCGTGGTTTATTAATCCAGAATCAACATTGCTAAGTGGCTGTGGGTCAAAAATCGGGTAATCTCACAATGGCTTGCGCGATCGGCAAATGGAAAGGACTAAACCCTGCGGTCCATATCCTGGTGACTCATTTTGACCCATACCCAACTTGCTAGTGCGATAAGTAAGGAATCAGAAATGGAATGAACCCAGGCTTTGGTCCCCCTTTTTCAGGAAACCACCAGTTGGATGAATTGTTTTCTTGGGGTCAGACTTCATAACTCTCTTTTTCTGCATCTCCCGCACCACCAAACCCAAGTTGCTTGAACCTGGACTGCCCTCAGATGCCCCGCTGAAAGTTTAACTTTTAGTCGGTCAAATGGAAACTACCACTAAACACGAAAAGGCCTTAAAAAAGCTAAGGAACCGGATGGCTGGCTTCGCCACCAAGGAACGTAGCCAGGACCAAACCTGGACGGGGCCCCGCCCTCCCGCTCCCCCGGCGCGGCCTCGGTCAGCAAATGTTGGACTTCCGAGGCATCGCCGCCCAGCTGAGGGTCACCCCAGGCGACCACCTCACGTCGACTCCGGGAAGCGTCCGGTCACGGAGTCGCCCCCCGATCCATGTGCAGAAACCCCCCGGTCTGGATTTCCCCAAGCCAAGAAGTTTCAATTGACTGGCGGTTTCCCTTCGAACTGCCTCTGTTGGAGGTTCCAACAAGGGAAATGAAGGACAAAGTTTGTTGAACATCCAAGTCTCACTTCCATTTGCTTCAGCCTCCTGCAAAAAAAATCATTCATATTTTTCCGGCAGGGAAATCTATTCCCCTAGGGGAACATCACCAAAAAAATGTATTCCTTTCAGCCAACAGTCCGTGAGAAGCTGACCCCAACCCAAAGCCCCAGCGCACCGAAGTGGAGAGGCGCCGTGCCGTCCCGGCGCAAGGCCGCGAAGGCCTTGCGCGTGCTCACCACCTCCGCCACCTGCGCCTCCGCAAACAAAGCGAGCGGTCGGCGAACGGCTGGCAGATTGACGGGGTCCGGCCTCGGGTCAGTTCCTTCCAGGCAAGCTACTTCGCGGGGTTGACAACTTGTTAGGGGTGAAATGCAAACACTCACCTTGGCGAATCGAACATGCAAGTAGGGGTTGATGCCCATGCAACCATTCTTCTATTCAACCACCAGCCGGCCCTTTGCCCCATTGTTTCTCGGTGGTTTTCTGGACACAAGGATCCCTGGAGGGAATGGGGACTGTACCACTATAGAAATTTGGAATCCACTTTTTTGGTGTTGAGGATTGCTCAACGGGAAACTGTACGTCGCTTTTGGCCCCAACTGCAATGGGTATACAGGGGCACGTTTCTTTTTGAGAACATGCTGTTTGGGGGTGTCGTTTTCGGGAATTCAAAGGGAACCCCTCTCACATATTGGCACTCTCCTACTTGAAGACAAATCCCCGCCCCCCCCCCTCGGTCAGTTGCTTGTCGAATCCCCTCTTTTTGGACGAATTTGGGGTCCCCCCCAAAAAAAACAGGCATCACTTTTAGGGCGGCCTACAGTGTCCAAAATAGTCAAAGAAATGTTCCCCGGCAGTTTTCCCAATGCAGTGTTGGCCACTTTGTCGCACCAAGAGCAGGATTCAACTACCAGTTCCAAAGAGTACAATCCTTTTGGGTGTGTGTCTTGTAGGGAACTCCCGAAGTGGTGGTCCTTTGATGTTGGTTTCCCTCTAAAACCAACCCAAAAAGGAGACCCTCAAAAACACACACCCGACGTCCACGATCGTCTTCAACCCAACCCTTTTAGACGAGAGCAATACATGTTAGCGACAGGTGTCCGCATTTGCTCAAACCCAACACTTTTCGGGTGCAATGTGAAGATGGTTAAGATGTATGTGTGCGTCTCTCTTGCCTCCTTTTTTTTACGGGACGCTTAATATGTTTAAAAAAAAAAAAAAAAAAAAAAACTCCAATATTGGTCAGAAGGTAACCTCTCCTTAGGTAGTCCTTCTGAATCCTTTCCAAGATCAGCGCGGGCAGAAAAGGTAGGTCATCCCAAAGCCTTCCCCAGTCCCTGTGCATAGACAAATCCAAACCTAATATTATATAGGGTTTCATCCATCCCAACTGGTGCGAAATGGGCTTTCTGGGTGATTCCCTTTTCATGGGTAGTTTGGGGTTTGAGGAAAACTGTCCCCATCCACAATACTCCCTTACTCCGAACATGGCCCCCGCTTCGAAGCGGGGGTGAATCGCCAGGACCTTTGCCTTGGCCAATTCGGAAAACAACTTCGCAAAACACAAAGCATTAAAAGGCGGGAATCGGAATGCCATAAAGCAGGGCGGATAATAAATAGTTAAGCGTGTCTTCTTGAAAGGAAACCCGTGTTTAGGAGGGACACCCAAAGAAACCAGAAACCATTTTTTCGGGGATCTCCTAATTTTTTGAGACCCAGTTGTTTGCTGGTTTGCTGGCAAATAACGGAATGCCCTCACAAGGGTTCGCAAACTCCAATTAAAAGCAGGTCGCAACAAAATCTCCCCAAAAAAATCGCCCGCCCTTCCCAGCACCCTTTTGCTCCCTCCCCCCTTCAACCTGCCCAAAACCCGCCCAGCCCAAGCGCCCAAAGGCCTCAGCAGAGGTCACGGCGCTGGGGGCGCTGCCTCCGGCGAGAGGGTCGCCCCAGGCGACCACGGCGCCGGAGGCAGTGAGCCCCACAAAGGCCTCGTCCGTGGACCGCAGGGAGAGGACCTGAGGCGATCGCCATCGCTGCCCAGAGAGTGGGAAGGCTGGCGTCTGACCCCGGAATAAAAACATCCATCCGATTTGGTGTCCGTTTTCGGGAATACCCCGACCATCCATCCGATTTGGTGTCCTGAAAAACGGAATTTGCAAGTGCGTAACCTTGGTTATAACTCAATAAATCCTCCATTCAGTGGAGTTAAGCGTATTATTCGAATAACCAGACGACTTACTAACCTGGCCCAAGTAGGGTAGTCTTTTTTGGAGTTGGTACCTCTTTTTCTGGTTGTTTCAAAAGGAAACCAAAAGGGTCAATCAAAGGGAAACCTAGCCATGTCGTGCTTGTGACGGAGATTTCGCCCAGTTGGGTGGTTATCTTTTCGGGGAGGTTCAGGGTCCATGTGGGTGTCTTTGTTTGTTGCTTTGAAGCGGCACCCAAAGGAAAACTGAAAACCCAAGTGCTAATGCTCAGACAAGGCACGCGCAACACTTCGCCAACCCAAGCCCACCAGGGGGCTGATAGCAAAAGAAAGATTGGAAGAAGAAGGATGAGCCCACAAACAGAATGCCAGAAGCAACCTCATTGCTCCCAAAAGACCCCTCGGCTTAAACACGAAGGGACATGTCCCTCCAGTTGCCCCCAGTTGCAAGCCTAAACCCTCAAATAACATCATCAAGAACGAGCAAGACTCCGGAAGGGTAGAATCTTGGGCTGCCGGAGGTTTGGCCATAAGCAGTAGAAAAGGATTATGAAAGTCCTGCGCCTCAAGCGGAGGCCCGGACTTCTTGCTGCGGGGTGAGGCAGAGAAGAAACTTGTTGCAGAACCAAATGGTGATCTGTCCATGGGTCAAAATCCCGTACCCCCAGTGAGCATCCCAATCCCCACTAAAATAGGTGCTAGAATAGGTTGTGCACCTACCCCAAGATGGCACCATTGGTTTTGACCCACAGCCATCTAACAAAAGCACAAAGCAACCCGAACTTGGGAAGTGAGCAGGATCCAGGAAGAACACAGCTAAAGGAAACCCCTTCCTTAAGTGGGAGAGGCCAATTCCATTTATCTGGTCATCCCCATAAAAGGAGAAAATGGAACCGTAAATGGAATTCTACGTAGGGGTCGCCACCTCCCCCAATTCCCTTTGTAAGGAGCTAAAGGAAACCCCGCCCTTGTGGCTTGGTCATCTCTTAGAGGAGCAAATAGGGTAGCATGGCCCCCGCTCCCCCCATTTTCTCCCGGGGAAACCAATTGGAGACAACCCACCTCCAGGGGTTCAGTTTGAGAAGCAGCAACAACGTAAAGTGTCGTGTTTGCTTTTATTTGGGAACAACAAACATTGCTTCTCTTCAGCAGTGGCATCTGGGTCTGTCTCTCCTTTGGCTGGTTCCATTAAAGGGGAACACAAGGAAGCCCGACAAGAAAAAACACGCACATGAGGGTCCCGAACAAAAAAAAACATACCAATCAAACGTTGACCCCATGTTAATCAACCCCAGTTTATTCATAGGGGGGTACTGGGTCAGTGGGGAATGAACATCACTTCTGGAGGGGCTTAATTATCCCAACCCCCTATGAATAAAAATGGCGTTGATGAATATGGGATCAACGAGAAATTCGCCCAAACCCATCGGCCCGATTGAGACGCATCGCTGGACTCATCGCCCCGCTTGAATCCCCGCCTCCTGCAGCTGATTCGCCACGCGCCCGCTGTCGCCCCCGCAGCTCTTGGAGCCCCAGGTGGCGACGCCCCCGTCGCCCCTGGCGCCGAGGCACCGCGAGAAAGACACGGCGAACCGAGCTCCCAACAAACCCGGCCGGAGCGTTTGTTGCGGGGATCATGTCAAGCCTATTGATTAACAAATGGTATTTTATCATGGACTCACCAACAACCACGGTGTGGCCTTTACTACGAAGGTACTTTACCGGGTCTTGGAAGAAAAACAGGAAGGAAAAGGGATTTGGAGTAGGGGATACTTCAAATACCCACTGGCTTGACTGGTCGAATGATATATTTGGGTGGCAAGAAGCCACCCTGTTCACTAAATATGGAGAATCTAGGCCTGTACCCGTTTTGGGGGGCGCTTATCCGCCCAGCCCAGCCAAGGCTCCAACTTGAGCCCTTGGACACCGCAGGACCCGGCGACTTTTCCGGAGGAGCTCAAAAGAGGCGAGCAAACGGCGAGCAAAACAACGCCACTCTGTTGACTTCCGCTTCAAAACCTTCCAGCTTCCTTTTCCGTCCCCCGGGGAAAACACAATATATATATATATATATGTATTTCGTCACCTCGATTCCCTCCACCTCTGAACGGGGACATAAACCTCGATATTCTGAACCGCAAACGACTAAGCCAGTGGATCCCAGTTATTGTAGGTAAACCTTGAGCTTCCATTTGCTTTTTCGCCCCCTGCACTTCTGTTTTTAATAAAACAAGTCCAGTAGTGGTTCTTCGATGTCCTCAAAAACCAACAAGATGTATTTTTCACAAAACAAAACCCAACAGCTGTTCAGCACGTGGAAGGTAAACCTAGGCCATTGGATCAGACACCTCGCCCGGCGAGCTGGAACCCCCACCCCGGGCGCCTGAGCGCTGCAAAGGCCTCCCGGGTGGCACAGAGCTGCACCACCTGCCCCGCGTTCGAAATCCATCGAGCGTCTGGCCCTTGAGCCTTGGGCTTGCTTGGGACGTCCGAGGGTTTCCTGCTTTTGGCAGGTTGGTTGAAAAGGTTGGTCGTTGAACTTTGGCCTCTGAGGTTGCCACTCTTGGGTTTATCGAATGCTGACCCATGTTCATCAACCAACCAGTTTTGCTTCTTCAAATACGGGGTGGGGGGGGTGAAAACCCCTCCAAGAGTGATGTCTGATTCCCCCTAAAATCGGTTGCACACCCCATGAATAAACTGGGGTTGATGAATTCGTGGTCAACATTCATCCCGGCGGAGCGAATTTTAGGCTACCTTTTTTGAGGCTACCTTTCGTTGGTGGTTTTAACGGGAAGAGGGAACATCCAAGCCTATTGTTTTGGGGGGGGGGATCCAAATCCTAAAAAAGGCTACCACACTTTTTGTGCAAATATGGAGGGTACATGTGGGAAAGTACTGCGTACAGGAGAGCGTGTCTTTTTCCAGGATGCCTTGTTTTTTCAGTGTTGAAGAGAAACCAAGAGGAAAGCCACCATTGTTGTGCGTGTGTGTGTGTGTGTGTGTGCTTTTTTGGGGGGGGCTAAGAAAGACACCACTACGAGTGCAGCAAACAAACTGGGATTTTTCGGGGGGATTCGATTTCAAACCCAAGGCACTTAAAGGGTGAAGACCTAAGTAGCTCGACCCTGCCAACGAAACTGTCCAAAGTACAAGTGCTGTTCGATCAAACTGACCCCAAAGGCCACCTTTTGAGAAGTCAACGACCCTTTGCTTCAATAAACATCCATTCAGCAGGGTCCATGGACTTCAATCCAGGGAATCTGTTCGGACTCCAGAAAATCGACGTCTCCTTTGTCACACACTAGGCAGACTCAGTTTTGCTCCGCTGAAAGCTCTCTAGATCTTGCTGAGGCGCAGGCAAGCCTCAGAAATATCAGCATCGGTCAAACTATTCGAAAGCTTCGTGGCATGCTGTCGAATCATGGCAATCTGCGGCGGCTTCATCCGGGCACGGACTTCCTCCGCCCTCACTGCCAGAGTCGGCAGGCAGGCCAGCAGAGACTCATCTCCACAGCCTGACAGCTTCACGCTGGCCCAAATGATGTTTGCGACATGTTGCGCATTCAAGTCCTGCTTCACTTCTTGGACCCTGTCAGCCAAAGCCGGCAGCAAGGCCAGCAAAGACTCATCTCCAGAATCTGACAGCTTCGCGGTGGCCCAAATGATGTTTGCGACATGTTGCGCATTCATATCCTGTTTCATTTCTTGGACCCGGTCAGCTAAAGCCGGTAGCAAGGCCGGCAAAGAGTCGTCTCCAGAATCTGAAAGCTTCCCGCTGGCCCAAATGATGTTTGCGACATGTTGTGCATTCATGTCCTGTTTCACTTCTTGGACCCGGTCAGCTAAAGCCGGCAGCAAGGCCGGCAAAGACTCATCTCCAGAATCTGATAGCTTCGCGATGGCCCAAATGTTGTTTGCGACATGTTGCGCATTCATACCCTGTTTCACTTCTTGGATCCTGCCAGTTAAAACTGGCAGGAAAGCCAGCAGTGATTTATCTCCAGAATCCAAAAGAATTGCGCAGGCCCACATCATATTTGTGACATGTTGCGTGTTCATATCCTTCTTCACTTCTTGAACACGATCAGCCAAAGCCGGCAGCAAGGCCAGCAAAGCCTCATCTCCAGAACCTGACAGCTTCGCGATGGCCCAAATGATGTTTGCGACATGTTGTGCATTCATGTCCTGTTTCACTTCTTGGACCCGGTCAGCTAAAGCCGGCAGCAAGGCCGGCAAAGACTCATCTCCAGAATCTGACAGCTTCGCGGTGGCCCAAATGATGTTTGCGACATGTTGCGCATCCATGTCCTGCACGACCTCTTTGATCCTGCCGGTTAAAGCTGGCAGCGCGGCCAGCAAAGAGACATCGCCAGAATCAGACAGCTTCGCGATGGCCCAAATGATGTTTGCAACGACTTGAACAGTCATATCCTCCTTCACTTCTTGGACCCGGTCAGCTAAAGCCGGCAGCAAGGCCAGCATATCCTCATCTCCAGAATCTGACAGCTTCGCGATGGCCCAAATGATGTTTGTGACATGTTGCGCATTCATGTCCTGTTTCACTTCTTGGACCCGGTCAGCTAAAGCCGGCAGCAAGGCCAGCATATCCTCATCTCCAGAATCTGACAGCTTCCCGCTGCCCCAAATGATGTTTGCAACTTGCTGTGCATCCATATACTTTGCTGCCTGCTGCACGGCACTGCTGAGCTGTTTCTGTACGCTGCTCAGCTGCGATGGCATCAAGGCGTACATCTTGCAGACTGCCCAAAGCGTGTTTGCCACTGCACGCGCATACAGCTTGGGCTCCGCACTTGCCTTCTTTGCGTAGTCTTCTGTCAAGCGAATGAAGTCCGCAAAAAATGGATCCTGCTGCATTTGATCCATGCCGGCTAGGCTGCACGGCAGCTTTGCAATCTTCACCCAGGCAGAAGAAATTGACATCAGGTTCAGCTTCGGGTTGTGCTGCTCCTGCTTGACCGCTCCCAGCACCTCCGAAGCAGACGCAGCCTGCGAGATGCTCTCCATGGCTGCCAGGGGCGACATTTGGATCACAAGGAATCCACGTCTAGGGAAACGTGAATAACACGCAACGTCAACCCTGGATTAACCAACCTGGTGGATTCGACTTTTTTGTTTAACCGACTCATTGAGTATGGATGAACCAGCCTGGATGCGTTCTTGAACCGACTCACTAAGTATGGACCTAGAAGAGTGCAAATATGTGCAAGCCAATGGTCGCCAGTCAACTGGCTGTGGCTCAAATCATGGGGTTACCCCCCCCACCTTTTTTTCGAGCCACAGCCAAATGGCCATCACTCAGCAATTGATTTGCTAAGTGAGTTGACAACAGCTGGGCTAGATCGTGAGGAGAGCCATGGAAGCAAACTCGGCATGCGGTTGCGGGGTGGGAATATCAAACACTTGTAGAAAAACAGTTCTGCAGATTAACATGGAACCTAAATCTCCATTGCTTTTAGAGGAATCTCTTGCTGAGGAAACCCTGTATTTGAGTCCTGCGTTGATCTGACGGGGAGACAAAAGCGACTGCTATGGCGGGGAATCGAAGCTCCCAAGAAAAGGTTCACTTCTCCAAACTGTGAAGCTCCCAAAATTGTCACAACCTAAACTTGCTTGACGTTGAAAGGGGAGCAACAATTTAAGTTTTAGCAGTGGGGATTTCCCACTAAACCACAATAAGCAAAAATGTAAAATGGTTCCCAACAACAACCACGTAAACCAGGCTTCCATATGAGCCTGTCAGTTGCCACAGGAAGCTTCCATGCCCGCGCTCCCGTCTTCGCGGTTTCAACTGCTTATCATGGAACCCACAACCAAAGCGCCTGGACCCTCAAACTACCCATAAAAATTGGTTTTACAACAAACAAGTGATTCGGAGCTTCCTTTGGGGGGGGAACCCCATTTCTGGGCTTCCATGCCAATCTGCATTCGTGTCCACATTGTACTTAGCATTTGCTTGGTTCGTACCGAAACATGAGCAAGTCAGGCATGAAACACACATGGCCGAATCGGTTTTGCTGCACGCTGAAAGCTCACTAAATCTTGCTGAGGCGTTGACAAGCCTCAAAAATATCTGTATCCGTCAAACTATTCAAAAGCTTCTTGGCTGGCTGCCGAATCATTTGAATGTCTTGCGGCTTCATCTGGGCACGCACTCCCTTGGCCCTCGAAGCAAGAGTCGGCAGCAAGGCCAGCAAAGATTTATCTCCAGAATCTGACAGCTTCGCGCTGGCCCAAATGATGCTTGCAATGGCCTGCGCGTTCATATCCTTCTTGATTTGTTGGGCCCTGTCAGCTAAAGCAGGCAGCAAGGCCAGCAGAGAGTCATCTCCAAAATCTGACAGCTTCGCGCTAGCCCAAATGATGTTTGTGACGGCTTGTGCAGTCATATATTTCTTGACTTCTTGGGCCCTGCCAGCTAAAGCATGCATCAAGGCTAGCAAAAAGTGATCTCCAGAATCTGACAGCTTCGCGCTGGCCCAAATGATGTTTGCAACCTCCTGGGCTTTCATATCCTGCTTCACTTCTTGAACTCTGCCAGCTAAAGCAGGCAGCAAGGCCAGCAAGGAGGCATCTTCAGAATCTGACAGCTTCGCGCTGGCCCAAATGATGTTTGCAACCTCCTGCGCTTTCATTTCCTGCTTGACTTCTTGAGCTCTGCCAGCCAAAGCAGGGAGCAAGGCCAGCAAGGAGGCATCTTCAGAATCTGACAGCTTCGCGCTGGCCCAAATGATATTTGCAACATGTTGCGCATTCATGTCCTGCTTGACTTCTTGGACTCTGCCAGCCAAAGCTGGCAGCACGCCCAGCAAAGAGACATCTCCAGAATCTGACAGCTTTGCGCTGGCCCAAATGATGTTTGCAACGGCTTGTGCAGTCATGTCCTGCTGCACTTCTTGGATCCTGCGTGTTAAAGCATGCGGCAAGGCCAGCAAAGAGTCGTCTCCGGAATCTGACAGCTTCGCACAGGCCCAAACGATGTTTGCAACATGCTGCGCATTCATGTCCTGCTTCACTTCTTGAACTCTGCCAGCTAAAGCAGGCAGCAAGGCCAGCAAGGAGGCATCTTCAGAATCTGACAGCTTCGCGCTGGCCCAAATGATGTTTGCAACCTCCTGCGCTTTCATTTCCTGCTTGACTTCTTGAGCTCTGCCAGCCAAAGCAGGGAGCAAGGCCAGCAAGGAGGCATCTCCAGAATCTGACAGCTTCGCGCTGGCCCAAATGATATTTGCAACATGTTGCGCATTCATGTCCTGCTTCACTTCTTGGACTCTGCCAGCCAAAGCTGGCAGCACGCCCAGCAAAGAGACATCTCCAGAATCTGACAGCTTTGCGCTGGCCCAAATGATGTTTGCAACGGCTTGTGCAGTCATGTCCTGCTGCACTTCTTGGATCCTGCGTGTTAAAGCATGCGGCAAGGCCAGCAAAGAGTCGTCTCCGGAATCTGACAGCTTCGCACAGGCCCAAACGATGTTTGAAACGGCCTGCGCCTGCATGTAATTTGCCGTCTGATGGACAGCATTGCTGAGCTGCTTCTGTAGACTTGCCAGCTGCACTGGCATTGAGGAATGCAACTTTGAAACTGCCCAAAGTGTGTTTGCCACTGCACGTGCATAAAACTTGGGTTCAGCACAGGCCTTCTTTGCCCAATCTTCTGTCAAGCGAATAAAGTCTGCTAGAAAGGGATCACGCTGCACATCATCCATGCCGGCTGCCAGACTGCGCGGCATCTTTGCAATCTTCGCCCAGGCAGCAGAAATCGAAATCAGGTTCAGCTTTGGGTTGCGCTGCTCCCGCTTGACTACCCCCAGCACCTCCGAAGCGGATGCAGCCTGCGAGATGCGCTGCGTGATCGCTCTGGGGTCCGTCTGGTCTTGAGCGTTCCCGCTTCCTCCACCTGTCTGGCGCCCACGTTCCTAGGCTGTCCTCAGATCCCCTTCAAAAAGTTTAGCTGGTGGGCTTAATGAAACCCAACCACTAAACCAACTAGAAAACCCCTACGGAACCGGACGATTCGCTGGGGGTTCCGCCAAGGTTCCACCTTCTTCCTCTCCCTCACCTGACGCACCGTTCGCCAGGAGCGGTCGAGCTGCGACGCCGCCCTCCCGCCGACGAAGGCGCCGTGGTGCAGGCGGCTGGTGGTCAGCCACAGGCCCAGCAGGTAGAGCCAGAACCGGCGGCTCATAGCTGCAAGGCATGTGCGTCAAGACTTAACGACAAATGACATAGATCCTACGGTAGAAGGCTCTTTTCGGGCAAACCTCATGTTTGCACACAAATGTTAACAAGATGTGGTTCACCCAAGTAATCAAATGTTGTTCTTAGTTGCTCTTCAAACTTGTAACATTGCCGTAAGGTGGTAACAAAGTAAAGCCTATTACCCTCTAGTCGATTAGTCGATTAAGATTAAAAACATGGCTCTTGCAATCGACTTGCCCAAGCAGCGGTCCACCTTGGGGGAGCCACCCTCATCAAAAGAGGCCGGAGGCCGCATGTGAGCCACGGTCGAGCGGTTCTGCAAAGGACATGGGACACTTAGTGAGTCATCTGGTTTTTTTGCGGCCATAGGAAAATGAGGGTGTCCTGGTCTTGGTGTATTTTTGACCGAACCTCACGCCACACAATCCATGCAGGTAAATGGTCTGCACACATGAAGGCGTGTCTTTCTGTGAGGGCACCCCTTTTGGGTGTTCAAGTTTTCCAGGGAAACCAGGAGGGAAACGCCCACTACTTTGGAGGGGGTCCCCCTAAAATCACGCCCCACGAAGTGCTTCGCAAAGTTGCCGCCCGCGCCCAGCTGGCGCACAGCACCCCCGCCTCGGTGAGCGGTGGCGCCAAGCCGCCCTTGGCGCGGCGCCCCCAGGCGGCCACGGCGCCGTGCCGCAGCAGGGCGAAGGCGTGCCTGGATGCCCCCGGCGCCGTGCCGCCCGACGGACCAAAAGTGGCCGCTTGGTGCTGGCCCAATATGATACGAAGGAAGATATTTCAGACAGGAGCTACAGTATTGCTGGTGCTTGCTGCTTGAATAGGATGCAACTAATTTGATGTGATATGAGGATATTCATACGATATTAATATAGACCAATGGTCCACAATGGCCTGTAAGGGTTTGGTGGCATCTTGGATTTGGAACTGTTTTCTGATGGTCCCTCTTCTATTTGTTGTTTGTTCTTTTACTGTATCCAAATCAAAAGAAGCAGCCAGCATGTTAGGCCCAAATCCATATTTTGACACATGCCCAAGTTGGACTCTCTTCTTGAGTGTTCGGCCACAGTAGTAAGTTGTTGGTACCCTGGGTTATAACCCACTCAAGTCCCCCGTTTGCCCCCGTTTGGTGGAGTTAACGAAAAAAGCAAACAATTTGCAAATCGTTCATTAACTTGGCCGAACATCGTACTTTTTCTTGGTTGTTCAACCAACTTCGTAAGTAGGGTAAAACCATGGTTTTGACTGCAGAAACTGGGGTTAGTTTTCCGTGAATTCGCTTCCATGGAACCCACCAGGAAGTAGCCGGTGCCTTTCAAAGGAAAATTGTCCAAACCAGGACCCCCCTCTGAGGTTTCACGTTTGCGGGGAGGGAAGGGTATCCTTTTTGGGACTTTGAATAAATATGGGTGTATCTTTTTTGGAGGGACCCCTTTTTGTGCCGGCTTCAGCCAAACGGAAACAAAATGGCAAGGGTCCGCTAAAAGGGACACCCCATATTCTGGAAACCCCGAGTCAGGAAACCAAAAGTTAAGTCAGATCCTGTCGATTCACCTTGGGCAAGTGAGTTATAATCAAAACCTGGTATGAAAAAGGTGTACCCAAGACCTTATAAAGAATTCAAAAGGCGGATATCGGGAACTATGTATGGTTGGGCCTGTCCCTTACTACTTGCGCCCTTGGGTGTTGAAGCTAATAGCTAAGTAGATGGTAACCATGGTAACGGGACAATCACCCCAGCTACCAACAAGTAACCTTGGATAGAACCTTACTAAGGTTGCTAAGTTGGTTGAGCATCGAATCCAAGTAGCCTTCACTCACCCGGGTTTTGATTGTGGCGTGGCTGTTCGTCGACGGGAACGACTCTCCGGAGCCATGGCCCGCCTCTGCTTGAAGCAGTCGCTCTTTGCTTCGCTGCCATGCACCGCGCAGACCAAATCCCCGCTGCTCAGCACGTCGCAGATCCTGATGCCAGGCTCTACAGGGCGGCCGATCCAAGCGTAAACTCATCTGGTGGCCCGAGGTGCTTAAATGGGCTGAAAAACATATAGGGACGCCGAGGAAACTAACACTTAAGAGCTCAACATCGCATAAATGAATGGGTACTCTGCTGTACTCTGACTCCTGAAGAACGTGAGGAAACATGAGGAAACTGGTTCAAGTGTCCCATTGTTTGGAACTTGGTGTCTTTTTGCTTTCCGTTGCAACAACCCACCAAACAGCGGTTCTCCCCCAAAAAATAGAACCCCCCCCCCCCCCGATGGGTCGTCTCATTGGTTCAACTCCGGGTTTGGAACCTTTCAGTTTTCCGCAAAATCCAAAGAGGGGTCCGGACCCGAAAGAACTACCCGCCTTGAAAATTGGTTCTTCCCCCCTTCCGCGATGTCAATGAAAGCCCGGTTTGAGGGTCATTCGCAGACCAATGGAAATGAGAGCAGGCACGCAAACCACCAATAAATGGGACCCCAAAAAGCATGGGAAATCAACAACAATGGCCAACCCTATACAGGAAAGCGCCTTCCTAAACCCCCAAACTTCCCCTGTCAAAAGGGAAATCACCACATGAGCAGTGTTCTAAACCCAGTTGCGGCCGAAGAGAAATATCAAATATCTTCCGTGAAGGCTTCCGCGGAGCTTCCGCGGCATGAAAAGTTCCTTCCCCAAGAGGTTTGAAGAGGGAATCGCTTCCGCGTCGCTTCTGCGGATTGAGAAATGAGATTGAAGCTCGTTTTCGCTTCCGCGCGTGAAGGAAAACTACAATTTCTTGCTTTCGTGATTGAATCGTAGCCCTTCCGCGAAGCTTCCGCGAGTACATAAATGAGAACCCCCTTCCGCGAACCTTGCGCGGCGCTTCCGCGACCTGGCAAAAGTCAACATTTTGAAGACGATATTTCCTCCCGAATACTACTTTCAAGTGCAGGGGTTTTAGAACGTCGCTCACATCTTTTGCAGGGGGCAATAACCGGTTTTCGGGGGGTAGTTTGAGGGTCCAGGTCAATTCAAAAGGTCCACCTCCATTTGCTTCCCCCTGGAACAAAACATATATTCCCGTTAAAACCAACCGAGAACATAGCTTGCTGGTGCTCAGCAGGGAATGAGCAATGGAATGACCCTTATAAACCATCCAACTGGTGGTTTCCTTTAAGGGGACCAGAGCTTGGGTTTCCCACATTCCCTATAGTCATCGCACCAGCAAATGGAGGAGGAGGTCGGCCAGCCAGCCGTCGACTCGGACTCGTCGAGTCGTCGTCGCCTGCTCGCGTTCTGCAGCGTACCCAAGGAGCTGACCAACGCGAGCAGCGGTGCAGCGTGCAGCCTGCGACGGACAATTTTGGCCGCGGGAGGCGAGGGGCGAGAGGCGAGAGGCGAGAGGCGAGAGGCGAGAGGCGACCGGGGGCTGGACGAAATGGGAAAAAGTGCCCAAATTCACAAGTTTGACGGTAGTTTGAGGGTGCTGGTTCGGTGTCTTTCTTGATCATTGACACGTTTGTGATGCTTTAGGAGCGCCAGCATTTACAAGAAAAACCCACAACCGTTGGTGCTTGCTCATTTTGCTTGGTTTCCTTGTGTCGAAATGGCTTCCCCATATTATGTCCAAGGGGAAGTCTTGCGTTCCGCTCCGTTGGTTGAACGCTTCGACACTCATGTCCTCGTTGTCTTTTCTGGCGTCTCACTGTGGCTTTGGGTGTCTCAAACATGGACGAAATTCCTCTCCAAGCGTTGGTATGGTAGCACAACACCTTTTTCTTGCAGCCTACTAAAAATGAACAGAACCAAAAAACAAATAACCTAAACATATACCAACAACAGTACCTATTCCCCAACCTAATACCCGATCTTCAAGTCAGCGCCCTGAAAGGGCAAAGAGTTTGTACCCCAGATCCGCACCCTCAAACTTGACTCATGGTCTGACAATTTGTTCAAGGGTACCTGCTGTTGGTTGGCTTAAAGCGAAACCAAAAGGAAACCAACGATTTTTGGGGCCCCCTCAAAAAAAGACACACCCAAGTCGCACTGTTTCCTCCCAAAAAAGTGAGGAAACAACATGACCCCCGAGCCCCACCCATCAGAACGTGTTGTTACGCCATTGTTTTGCAGGGAGCTCGGATCACATGGTTTCGATCAAGAGATATGGGTCCTACCCTCTCCTCATACTAAAAGACACGTGTTTGTTTCATCTGATTGTCACTGTCGTCCTTTTGGTTCATCTGAAGTTGACAGTGTGTGTGTTTAGTTCAGTACACATATCCTGCCAACGCGTCTGGGTAAAATAGCCCTTTCCATGATGCCAAAGGTCCATGAATAATTTGTCCCGGCAATTTTTCCTTGCGAAACTGGTCGCCATGCCCGTCCATAGCAATGGTGGAAACACATCTCCAATTCTCAAACGAGCGACCAAAGCCCATTGACTTTTGATTGGCCCCATACGCAATCCTTGTTGACCCAGCCAAAACCGGACACATGGGGATTACTTCTATGTTTGCTTGTTCGCCCCTGTAAAAAAGAAGAAGAGCAACTTCCATTTGCTTGCTCGCCGCTGGAGGAAAAATGCAAAAACCAATTCACCAATTCTAGGTCCTCCAGTAGAGAGGTTAGAATAAGGGTACCAACTTCTTGCTGTAGTCTATTTTAGTAGGGACACCCTCCCCCGAAAAAGAAACGGTAAAACAAACACACCTAGCTGGGGACCTAGGAAACAATAAAACTTCCATGGACGCCACAGTGCCCCGTTTGCTTCCCAAGGCGCGTCTCCACCAGCCGCGCCAGCTCGGCCACTGACTTCTCTGCATCCACCTGGCGAAGCAGAGCGACTCGGAACATCTGACCCATAGATGGCCTTTTTCTTCAAGGGAATCCCGCCCGGAGAAAAAACAAAAAACAAAAAGCAACGACAAAAACAAACGACCCCCAAAAAAACAGGACGCTGTTCCTTGTGTTGTTTCCCATAGTTCCTGTGCAAAAAGTTGGTCTCACAAGCAC